CAAATCAATATGATAAATCACATTAACAATCTGAAGAACAAAAACCATATGATTATCTCAATAGACACAGAGAAAGCATTTGATAAAATACAACACCCTTTCATGATAAAAAATCTAAGCAAATTGGGTATAGAAGGAACATTCTTCAACACAATCAAGGCAATTTATGACAAACCTACGGCCAGCATACTATTGAATGGAGAAAAGTTGGAAGCATTCCCACTGAGATATGGATGCCCACTCTCACCATTGCTATTCAATATAATCCTGGAAGTTTTAGCCAGAGCCATTAGGCAAGAAAAAGAGATCAAAGGGATACAAATTACTATTTGCAGGTGACATGATTCTATATATAGGGGATCCAAAAGACCTACCAGGAGACTATTGGAACTCAGAAGAGCTTGGTAAAGTAGCAGGATATAAAATCAATACAGAAAAATCAATAGCCTTTGTATACACAATGACAAGGTTGAGAGTGAGCTTCTAAAATCAATCCCATTCACAACAGCTACAAAAAAAAAAAAAAATCAAATACCTTGGAGTAAATTTAACCAAGGATGTCAAAGACCTCTATGATGAGAATTTCAAAATATTAAAGAAATAAACAGAAGAAGCTGCAAAAAAATGGAAAAATCTTCCATGTTCATGGTTTTGAAGAATTAATATCATCAAAATGTCCATTCTTCTGAAAGTAATTCACAGATTCAATGCAATACCAACCAAAATACCAAAGATATTTTTCTCAGATACAGAAAAAAAAATGCTGAAATTCATGTGGAAACACAGGAGAGCCTGAATAGCTAAAGCAATCTCATTAAAAAAAAAAAAAAAAAAAAGCCAGAGACATCACAATACCAGATTTCAAGACATACTAAAAGGCAGTTATAATCCAAACAGCTTGGTACTGGTACAAAAACACATGGAGAGATCAATGGAGCAGAATAGAAATGCCAGAAATCAATCCAAGCATCTACAACCAACTTATATTTGACCAAGGCGCTAAAACTGATCTCTGGAACAAGGACAATCTCTTCAACAAATGGTGCTGGGAAAACTGGATTTCCACATGCAGAAGTATGAAGAAGGACCCCTACCTTACACCTTATACAAGACTCCATTCAAAATGGATTAAAGACCTAAATCTATGACCTGATACCATAAAATTATTAGAGAACATTGGGGAAACCCTGTAAGATATTGGCACAGGCAAAGAATTCTTGGAAAAGACTCCAGAGGCAGAGGCAGTCAAAGCCAAAATTAACAAATAGGATTACATCAAACTGAGAAGCTTCTGTACTGCAAAAGAAACACTCAAGAAAGTGAAGAGGGAATTGACAGAATGGGAGAAATTATTTGCAAACTATGTAACTGATAAAGGATTAATAACCAGAATATATAGAGATCAAGAAACTCCACAACAACAAAACAAACAAGCCAGTTAAGAAATGGGCAAAGGACTTAAACAGACATTTTTCAAAAGAGGAAATCCAAATGGCCAACAGCCACATGAAAAAATGTTCAGGATCACTAGCCGTCAGGGAAATGCAAATCAAAACCACAATGAGGTTTTACCTCACTGCAGTTAGAATAGCTTTCATACAGAAATCAACAAACAAATGCTGGTGAGGATGTAGGGAAAAAGGTACCCTAATCTACTGTTGGTGGGAATGTAAACTTGTAAAACCACTATGGAAGAAAGCTTGGAGATATCTTAGAAATCTGAATATAGACCTACCATATGACCAGCCAACCCACTTCTGGGAATTTACTCAAGGGAAATGAAATCAGCAAATAAAAGTTATTTGCACCCCCATGTTTACTGCAACTCAATTCACAATAGCTAACACATGGAATCAATCCAAATGTCGGTCAACCGGAGACTGGATAAAGAAATTATGGGATATGTACTCTATGGAACACTACACAGCAGTAAAAAAAAAAAAAAAAAAAAAAAAGAAATCTGGATATTTGCAACAAAATGGATGAATCTGGAAAACATCATACTTAGTCAAATAAGCTAGTTTCAAAGGGACAAATACCGTATGTTCTCCCTGATTTGTGATAACTAATAGAGCACCTACAAGGAAATCTGTAGAAGTGAAATTGACATTTGACAATGACATCTTCAAGTCATTCAAGCAATGACTTGAAGAGCCCTTGTCTTGACTGTCAATGAACATTTTTTTTCTCTTCTTCATACCATTTGTTGAATTCTTTACTTAACATAGTTAATTATATTTGTATAAAGTCAATTGAAAATAGATCTTAGTAAGAAAATAAGAGTGAGAATAAGAGAGGAAGACAGAAGTTTGTAACTGTAAAGCTGTATAGTTCTGCATACTTTCCTACAGACTTACTTCTAAGGTACAGTTTAAAAACTTGCCATGGGATCCCAAATCCCATTAAGCTGGGTAGTAAAAATACCATCTTAAGTGTTAAAGTGGCCATATTAAGTGTTCAAGTGATCAAATAGGTAGGATTAAGTGTTAAAGGGATCATATAAATAAGATCAAGTGTCTGGTAATAATAATAGGCAGAATTAAAAAGAAGAGAATGTTCCAACATGGGAAGCAGTCCACACAGCAGACTCATAGAATGACAATTGCTTTAATAAGCACTCTGACCTCAGAATCAGCCCTTAAGGCATTCTGATCTGGCTGAAAAGCCCATGAGAGTATTTCAGGCATGGAAAGCCAAGACTCTGTGGCAAAAAAAATGTCCTATGAGAAAAATCTCTGTGAGAGAGATCCCAGTGGAAAGAAGTGGCCAGCAAAGAAGGATGCACATTTCTCTGAAGGGATGAGAGAACTTCCACTTTGCTTGGGGCCTTGTCTAAATACTGATGAAGACTGTGGATTCAAAAGGCTTTCATAGCCCTGGCAGTCATGTCAAGAGCCTTAGTGATTACTGATGTCATACATAAGAGTGTTAATTGTTAAATTAACAACCGGAGTCACTGTGTACTTATTTCCCGTGCAGAACTTCTGTCCACAATGAGTTGTATTATGAGAATTAACTGTAAAACGTGTTCTCAAACAGTTGTGTGTGTGTGTGTGTGTGCATGTGTGCATGTCTGTGTGCAAATTGTTGAAATCTTTAGTTAGTATAGAGTTGGTCTTCCGTGTATAAAGTTAATTGAAAATTAATCTTATTGGTGAATGGGACTAGGAATAGGAGAGGGAGGAGGAAGTGGCATGGGAGGGTGGGTATGGTGGGAAGAATCATTATATTCCTAATACTGTACTTATGAAACTTGTACTCATTAAATAAAAGGTTTCTTTGGGGGAAAAAAAGAAGAAAATAAAGAACTTCCATACATTTTAGCTTCCTCTTATAAACCAATCTATATACTTATCAACACACACTGCTTTTCCTTGGATTGCTATGGTTAAATCATATTCCTATGTAAATCAAAGAGGATTTCTGACCTAAGCAACTAAAAAAAAAAGAAAGTGCTGCCTTTTACTAAATTGGGATACCATGCCAGGGATCAGAAATGATTTATCTAGTAGACATTAGAGTGAAAATGTCAAACAGGCAATTAGATACACTAGCTTGGAATTTATCTTTAGATCAGAATTGTTCGGCCGGCGCCGTGGCTCAATAGGCTAATCCTCCACCTTGCGGCGCCGGCACACCGGGTTCTAGTCCCGGTCGGGGCGCCGGATTCTGTCCCGGTTGCCCCTCTTCCAGGCCAGCTCTCTGCTATGGCCAGGGAGTGCAGTGGAGGATGGCCCAGGTGCTTGGGCCCTGCACCCCATGGGAGACCAGGAGAAGCACCTGGCTCCTGGCTCCTGCCATCGGATCAGCACGGTGCGCCGGCTGCAGCGGCGGCCATTGGAGGGTGAACCAACGGCAAGGGAAGACCTTTCTCTCTCTGTCTCTCTCACTGTCCACTCTGCCTGTCAAAAAAAAAAAAAAAGATCAGAATTGTTAGCATATATTTGATATTTAACACAATGAGAAAAGAGATCACCAAGACAATGGATGCAGATAAAAGATCCTTGGGAAAGAGAAAGGAGACTTTAGGAAAACCAAAAAATGGTATCCTCGAAATCATTAAAATATAATCCCATTAGTCTGGGGTGATAAATTAATAATTATAAAAAATTAATAGGCCCTTTAGTACCACCTATAATGGGTATTCTTTACACTCAATTCTTCCTGACCCAACTCCTCCCTTGGCTCTGTAATACTGCATAGTCTTGGTTCTCCTGCCTCCCCTAAAATTCCTTTTGTAATTCCTTTCCAAATCTCTCTTCCTGCTACCACTTGAGTTTCCTTATGAGCCATCTTCTCTATATAAGTCATATTCTTTAAGAAAGTTATCTACTCTCCTGGCTTTAGCTATGTAAATCTTACATTTAAAAATGTCATTATGGGGCCCATGTTGTAGCACAGCATGTTAAACTGCCACTTGCAGTGGCAGCCTGTCACATGAGTATCCTGGCTGTTCCACTTCTGATTCAGTTCCTAGCTAATGCACCTGAGAAAGCAGTGGATGATGATCCACATGCTTGGGACTATGGCATCCACCTGGGAAACCAGGAAGAAGCTTCTGACTCCTGCCTCTGCCTGCCCTAGACCCAGCTATTGCAACCATTTGGGAAATGAACCAACAAATAAATAGAAAAATCTTAAAAAAAAAAAAAAGTGTACTCCAATATGAGATGCTCACATCCCAAGCAGTGGATTAACCTTCTGCACCACAATGCCCATCCCTTGATTAACTTCTTCATATTGCTTTTTCACTTTCGTGGGGGAAAACATTCAGATCTATTGGAAAAATTCTAGCCAGCCAAATTTATATAAAAAACTTTCCCATGGAAGATTTTTTTTAAGCATTTGAGATGTTTTTTAAAAGACGGTTAAATTGATTTTTAATTATACTTCAACAATTTTTCTAAAGTTGTAGTAGGACAAAATTCACCAGATCACCTTAGGAAAATTTCTTATCTTTCTATATACTTTGGAAGATTTAAAGAAATAGAATATTTTACCTGGTTGGCACAAAATCTTGTAGCCAAAAATAGGATATCAGTGTTGATAATATTATAGACAAAGATGTTGCAAATCCTTTTAAAATATTATCCGCATACTTAATAACAGCAGCCACTACAAGGCCTCCAAGTGCCTGTAGAAGTTTCAGAAGATTATTTTTAAAAACCAACATATAAAACTGCTTTTCAAAATAATTTCATTGCTTACCAAAGCATAGGCTCTGTCCTATAAATTTAACCCATCATCAAAAGTGATTTACAGTCATATTAAACACTTCATAACCCACAGATTTCTAGGTTTTTCTCAGCATCCTTCTTATTTCAAAAGGTATCTAATAAAGTACTTACCACAGCAATCTACAGTTTGTTACAATAATGAAGTAAAGCAGCTATCTTCAATAAATTTAGTAATTAAACACCAAATGTGGGAAGATAGATCAATATGAATAGTGAAATGCTTTTACTTTTGAGTATTTTACTAGCCTTTCAAATCTCCTAGTGGGGTGTTCTCCCCATTTTATTCTACCTCTCACCTCTCACCATTGTCAAATTACTTTCCCTAGGCACAGCTTTAATCATGTTTTTTAAAAGTATATAAAGATCTGGTTGCTCCTCTTCCAGGCCAGCTCTTTGCTATGGCCCGGGAGTGCAGTGGAGGATGGCCCAGGTCCCTGGGCCCTGCACCCGCATGGGAGACCAGGAGGAAGCACCAGGCTCCTGGCTTCAGATCGGAGCAGCGTGCCGGCCCAACGCGCTGGCCGTAGCAGCCACTTGGGGGGTGAACCAATGGAAAAAAGAAGACCTTTCTATCTCTCTCTCAATGTCTAACTCTGCCTGTCCAAAAAAAAAAAAAAAAAAAAAAAAGTATATAAAGAACCTTTCTATCACTCCCAAATTCCAAATTGTCGCTATTTATGGTTTTACTATACAGGTTCAGCATACCTACTCTGAAAAGCTAAAATCCAAAATGCTCCAGTATTCCAAATTTTTTGAGCACTAACGTGGTGGTACAAGCAGAAAATTCCTCATGTGATGGGTCTCACAACACAGGTGCACTAAAAATGTGTATATTTACCTTCAGGCTATATTTATAAGGTATTTACAAAACAAATAAATTTTGTGTATAAAGATGTTTTCCACCCCAAGATACTTCATTATGTATGAGAATACATCAAAATATGTGTGGAAAAAATGGAATTAAAAGAACAGCTTATGATGATACCAAAAAAATTTCCAAACCTATGAATAGTTTTTTCATAATACATGAAGTTTATTCATGTCTGATGCATAGATTTAAAAAATTTTTTGTACAAAAATTAACTTATTTTTTAATTCTCCTTTTTTCATGAACTTCTTGAAGTTCACTTACATATGCAAATATACTGAAACCCACCCCCTTCCAAAAAAAAAATCAGCATTTCAGTTAAGGGATATTTAACATGTACTATATATAGCTTTGTTTTTTGCCAGACCCTACTTAACAGCTTCCCAATCTGGGTTATCTTCCTTTAGAACTTTCACTGCAACTCTCTAATGATGGAAACTTTATTAAGAAAATGCCATAAATTATGGCCATTAGATTTTCTACAAATTAACTCTGGGTAACAATATTTCTTTGCAATGTTGTCATTCATCAATTTCTCCCTATTGAATATCTCATACCAGTTATACTAAATTGTTTATATTTTTGTTCAAGTCTCCAGCCCCTTCTTAAAGGAAGTTGGCTTCTTTTGCTAGCATAAAACATGAGTTTAGCAAGCATTTGCTCTCCTGAGTTACCTTATCTCCACTCCAAATTCTCTCTCAAATTTTTACTTATCATTGTGTCCTTTACTGCATCTTACATAATATAAGCATGCTTCCTACTATGAAAACATAATTATCTTTTGCCACCTTCCCCATACCTGTTGGGACCTTGTGGCTTTAAATACCTTTAGATGAATGGAAGAAGGATCTGAAGACAGTAACTTGTATCTTAATTTTTATATCCTCCAGAGTATTCAATAAATATTTTTTGAAGATAGAAATACTCAAAACTAAGCAATTACAAATTACATAAAAACTAAAGCAACTTGACAGGAATATTCTAAACTGTATTAGAAGCTAAAATCAGAACTAAACATCTAGGTATGCTTCTTGAGTCTCAGTGGACTGACCACAGAATTCCTGTGCAATGATAAAAACTGAAGAAAAATTAAAACTTATATTTGCTTTTAGTTTCAAATATTTTATTGTGAAACTTGCATTTTCATTATGCTAAATTTGAAAATCACAGTTCATTTATGATTTGTTTTCTTTTTTTCTTTTTTTTTTTTTTGACAGGCAGAGTGGACAGTGAGAGAGAGACAGAGAGAAAGGTCTTCCTTTGCCATTGGTTTACCCTCCAATGGCCGCCGTGGCCGGCGCGCTGCGGCCGGTGCACCGTGCTGATCCAAAGGCAGGAGCCAGGTGCTTCTCCTGGTCTCCCATGGGGTGCAGGGCCCAAGCACTTGGGCCATCCTCCACTGCACTCCCTGGCCACAGCAGAGAGCTGGCCTGGAAGAGGGGCAACCGGGACAGAATCTGGCGCCCTGACCGGGACTAGAACCCGGTGTGCCAGCGCTGCAAGGCGGAGGATTAGCCTAGTGAGCCGCAGCGCCGGCCTATGATTTGTTTTCAAAATGAGGTTTTCATTAGGGCTAAGATCAATTCTATTTTACCTTTCCTGTATAAAATAAATACAATAAGCCTACTAACAGCAGGAACCCTTTCCCCTTCAATCAGTAAATCCATAGCTACTTTGATTTTCTATGTTAAAATAACATTTATTAGAATTCAAAAAAGGACTTATAGTGCTTTACCTGAAGAGCAACAACTATCCAGGTCAATTGGTTATATCCCTGAAAAAATCCATTCTTGGATACCAATTCTCCGTCATAAATGTACACAGCCATTAATCCAAATATACTCCCAAAGAAACCTAAAGAGAAATAAAATCTAATCTACATCACATGTCACTTAGTTTTTCTGAAAAGGTATTTTTCTGTTGACATTCCAAATAATTTTAATAATGATTTTTTTGATAAAATTTGACTACTTTTTAAATTCTTATTTGGTTTATTCAAACAAAAATAACACTAAACTTAGGACTACACTATGACTTCAAACCAAAGAATATTTAAAAAACAAAGATTACCAACTTTGGAGCACTAAAATAATATGCATACATTACATGATTAGATGTTTGTCTCACTCAAATATTTGCAATATACTACTTTTGGATTGCATCATTGTATTTTGTATTTTCCTTTTGCTAGGTCTAGATTTTCAATTTTGCAGATAGAAAAATTCAGGTATGAGACAGAACCTTTTCTTAAGAATTTTTGAGTGTGATGTCAGCATACCAAATGAGTGCTGGTTTCAGTCCCACTGCTCCACTTCTGGTCCAGATCCCTGCTAATGCACATGGGAAAGCAGAGGAAGATGGTCCAACTGCTTGAGCCCCTGCCACCCAAGTGGGACCCAGATAAAGATCCTGGTTCCTGGCTTTGTTTTAGCAACATGGAGAGTGAACCAGCAGACAGAAGCTTTCTTTCTCTCCCTTTCTGCTTCTCCCTCTCTAAATATGTATCTGCCTTTCAAATAAATAAATCCTTAAAAATGCAGAGAAAGTAAAATGTCATCCTCTGAACATTAAAAAAATAAACAACTTCTGAAAGAACAACAATTATCCAAAAAAGCAGGGCTATGGGCTATGGGCTGGTGTGGTACAGTGCGTTAAGCTGCTACCTACAAAACCAGCATTCCATTTGAGTGCTGATTGAGTCCCAACTGCTCCAGTTCTCATCCAGCTCTCTTCTAATGCATCTGGGAAAGCAATGGAAGATGGCTCAAGTACTTGGACCCCAGCCACCCACATGAGAGATCCAGATGAAGTCTTAAGCTCCTGGCTTCTGCCTGGTCCAAGCCCAACCATTGGTGGCCATTTGGAGAATTAACCAGTAGATAGAAGATCTCTCTCTCTCTCTCTCTCTCTCTCTCTGTAACTCAGGCTTTCAGATAAACAAAACAAATCTTAAAAAAAAAAAAAAACCAACAGCGTTAGGGGCCAGCATTGTGGCACAGCAGGTTAAACCACTGCTTGCAACAATGGTATCCCATATCAGAGTGCCAATTCAAACCCTGACTGTTCTGCTTCTGATTCAGCTTTCTACCAAAGTACCTGGTAAAGCAGCAGAAGATAGCACAAGTACTTGGGCCTCCACCCCTCACATGTGAAACCCAGATGGAGTTCCTGGTTCCTTGCTTCAGCCTGGCCTATCGCTTGGCTATTGTGACCACTTGGGGAGTAAACCAGAGAATGGAAAATGTCTCTCCCGGGAGTGGGAAAGGGGAGGGTGGTGGGTGGGAGGGACGGTATGGGGGGGAAAGCCATTGTAACCCATGAGACGTACTTTGGAAATTTATATTCATTAAATAAAAGATAAAAAAAAAAAAAAAAAAAAAAAATTCAACAAAAATCAAAGGAAAAAAAAAAAAAAAATCCTGGGAGGCATATTGGAGTGCCTAAGTCAAGTTCTGGCTTCTCTGCTTTCAATCAATCTTGCTAATGTGTACCATCAAAGGCAGCAGATGATGGTTCAAGTACTAGGATTGCTACCACCAGTGTGGAAGACTTGAATGGAGTCCCAAGCTCCTGGCTTTGGCCTTGGCCAACTCTAATTATTGCAGGCATTTCAGGGGAATTAATCAATGGATGGAGATCTGCCTTCTCTCTGGTGCTTGTACGCTCTCTCTCTCTCCTCTCTCTCTCTCTCTTTCTCTCTCTCACTCAAATAAAACAAAAATAAAAAAATTGAACCCAGAAAGGTAGAAAAAGAGGTAATAAAGAAGAAACAAATAACAAATATAATGAACATAAAATTATTTTAAAGCAGCAAATATTAACCAAACTATATAGTCACTTTAATATAAATATTCTATACATATCAGTTGGAAGGTAGAAATTATCTGATTGGATTTATAAAATACACACTTGCAACTA